AAAAATCAAAATTATCATTTCAATATTTAATCCAATTCCCATCTAAAAAAGTGTTTTAATCAGAAGAGTGGGTGTTGAGCTAACTAATCATTAATTATCAGCATTTTTTTTTTCTAATCATAAACTAATATGCCATCAAAGTTTTTGTGTATTAATAAAAAATTAGTTTCATCTTTCTCTTGTAGGATTATTTAATTTGATACAGAACAATATTGTAAAAGACAACATAGATGCTCGCATAAGCGCCTATCAAGATGAAGCAAGACCATACCACCTTGTTAACCTCCTAGATAGTCACCATCATTAAAATGTTGCAGGGGTAAGGCCTTTTTTATTTAAGATAGCTGAAGGAACCGCCTTGTGCTCATTGGAGACTAAAGTGCAAATAATACTTAACATTAAAAATGAGTTATCTTTCTATCATGATACTTAGACATTGAATGACGAGAAAAGGGCATAAGGAGTGGAGAAACAATGATGCGTTGTTGGGCAAATTGTTGGTGCAAAACCTTTACATTCTAGAATAGTAAACCTTGAGATTGAAAACAACGACTTGAAGAGGTAGATGAAAATAAAAAGATTTACATATCTAGTGACTAAGAACACATTAGAGAGGATGGTGATGAGAAACTATAATAGATAATCATCAAAATGAAATTATCCCTAGGCTATTCAAGAAAGAAATTTAAATACCATAAATATCCTTATCTAAAATAATGTACCAGTCAAGAATTTCAAAAATGGAATGCAAAGAAGATAGAAAAAAAACATTACTTTACTTGATCAAGTTCTAAATGTGATAACCACCACTTTATACGATTTAAAAATATTTAACAACAATAACAAGCCTTTATCCGACTAAGTGGGGTCGGCTACATGAATCCTTTTTCTCCACTGCGTCCTATTGAGCGTCATATTTTCATTTAATTCTAATAAATTAAGATCATATTTTATACAATATGCACAAGTCTTTTTAGGTCTACTTCTGCCTTTCTTAACATAAGACGAATCTAAAACATCTACTCTCCTAACCGGATCATCAGATCGTCGACGTTAATGCGACCAAACCATCTAAGGCGACTTTCTCTAATTTTTTTGGCCACTAGAGTGACACCAACCCTATCACGAATAGATTCATTTCACAATTTGTCTTTCAGTGTGAAGCAACTCATCCACCTAAGCATTTTCATCTCTGTAACACTTAACATAGTTTTATGCTTCTCTTTTAAAGGCTAAAATTCTATGACATAGAGCATTACAGGTCTCACCACCCATCTTATAAAATTTTCTTTTCAATCTAAGCGGTACTTTTCTATCACACAATAGGCTCAAAGCATTCCTCCACTTCAACCAACTTCAACCACATTTCAGCCAACCAACCTGAATTATGCTAATAACATCCCCATCTATATCACCATCACTTTAAACAATAGACCCAACATATCTAAAACGTTCACACATTTTAATAATTTGATCACCCATAACTACAACTCTGTCAGTGGAGCTACTATTACTAAAATTACATTCCATGTATTCAGTTTTAGTTCTACTCAAACGAAGGTCTTTAGACTCCAAAGTAGACCTCCATAATTCAAGTTTTTGTTGAGTTTTTTCTCTAGTCTTATTCATAGAAAGGATATCATCAGTGAAAAGCATACACCCAGATACATCATCTTGTAAATATCCGGTAAAAGCATACATAACTAAATAAAAAAGATATGGGCTTAAAGCCGACGCCTGATGTAATCCAACTGAAATAAAAAAATATTTGGTCAATCCTCCTTCTGTTCGAACACAAGTATCAGCTCTAGCATACATATCTTTAATGACTTGAACATAAGTCGTATCAACACATTTCTTCTCTAGAACTCTCCAGAGGATATCTCTTGGAACCTTATCGTAAGTTTTTTTCTAAATAAAAAAAAATCATATGAAGATCCTCCTTGCTCTCTCTGTACTTCTCCATCAAAGCTCTTATTAAATGTATAGCTTCTATAGTAGACCTGCCCGGCATAAATCTAAACTGATTTATGACAAATCTTTGAAATATGTCTTAACCTACGTTCATCTACCCTCTCCCATAATTTTAAAGTATGACACGTCAACTTAATTTCTCTATAATTTGCACATTCTTGTGCATCCCCTTTAATCTTAAAAATGGGTACCAAAATACTATTCCTCCACTGCTCAGGCATATTTTTAGTTTTTAAATAATATTAAAGAGTTTAGTAAGCCAAGAAACTCCTAAATCTCCTAAATATTTTTTCCTAAATATTTCCACACTTCAATTGGAATATCATTAGGTCCTATAGACTTTCCATGTTTGGTTTTCTTTAAATTCTCCTCAACTTCTTTTTTTACTAATGCGGCGGTAAAAATGAAATATTTTATTATTATTAACGATATTAAGATCACTAAGGTCGATCGTATTTTCTGAAACTGATCCTCTTTTCAGAAACTTCATTGAAAAGTTTATCAAAATAACTCACCCACCCAAGTTGAATATTTTTTTCTAAGAAATGTATTTTTTGATTTTCATCTTTATTACCCTTTACAAGTTACACTTTACAAGAGTTAAATTTTTTGTTTTTCTTTTCTCTTTATTTGGATAATTTATACATATATTTTTTACTCTTTTTAGTATCTAATCTGTTATAAAGATCACTAAAAGCCGATTTTTTAGCGTCACAAATAGATCTCTTAGAATGCCTACATGTCATTTTATTTTTTTTCTGAATTCTCTAAACTTTTACATTTAAACCAATTTTTATAACATAATTTTTTACATTTTATATTTTCTTGCACATTATTATTCCACCACCAACAGTTTTTATTATAGAAATTTTTCGTTCAGATTCTCCAAATATAATTTTTGCCACTTGTTTAATAGTATTTGTTACCTTATCCCACATAGAATTTGCTTCTTCATGAATATCTCAAATCTTAAAATCTTGAAGTTTACTCAAAAAAATATTTTTATTTGTATATTTTAGGTACCCATCTAATTCTATGACAACGATTTTCAGTAATCTTTATTTTACAACTCTTCATTTTAAAATCCAGAACTAATAATCAATGTTGAGTACTTAAATTCTCACTTGGAATGACCTTATAATATTTACATTCTCGACAATCTCTTCTTCTCATAAGAAAATAATCAATTTTTTTTATTAGATCCATTCTTATAAGAAATAATATGTTCATTTCTTTTCTTGAACAAAGTATTAGAAATAACAAAAATCATAAGCTAACGCAAAATTTAATATGGCTCTATCTTCTTCATTAATCACTCTAAAATCATAGCCACCACAAATATTTCTAAAATCTTCTACCACTATACCGACATGTTCAATTAAATCTCCTCCAATAAAATTTTTTTTCTTCAAGAGGTATCTTTTGTATTAATTCTTCTAGGTCATTCAAAAATTTTTCATTAGAACCTATATCTAAACCAGCACTTATAATATTAAAAATCTTAGTATCAACAACAATCTTAAGAGCTATAATACTATCTCCAATTCTATTAATTTTTACAACATTATCTTTCAAACTCTTATCTAAAATATCTATAATTATACATACAACATTCTCAATGCGACTCTTGCCTGAATACCAAAGTTTAAAACATAAGCTATCATTTTCTTAGCATTTTCCCCAACTCATTTAGCTTATTGAATAGATAAGATATTTATTTTTCTATGAATCATAATATCCATTAATTCCATTAGTTTTCCTATGACAGTACTTATATTCCAAAACCTTATCCTAAAATTAGTTTAATGGACTAACTTTTTTACCCACATTCATCCGTAATGTGGGAACCCTTGCTTATTTAACACTACACCCGGGCGCCGTTGTAGTGGCTCTTGCACACTTTTCACTGTATCCAGGTCATACCGTGTGTCAGTTCCAAGGGATGCCCTAACATTTACACAATGATCAAAAGGATTCATGTCATGAATTTTTGATAAAATTTATGTTGATTGTCGACAACCTGATGCAACTCTCCACTTTTCACATTCGAGAATTGGGACAAGGCAATGGCAGTGTTTAAAAATATTTAACAAACTTGAAAAATAGTTTATTAAGTGATCATATCTATTTCTTTTTTAATGTTTGGCTTTGCTTGAGTGCATGGTTGGGATGTTCCCTCAGAAATTGGGCAGCCATATCTCCATGAGTGAGCACTTTTAATAACATTGGTATGGAACTATGATATTCTATCATCTTGAAACTTTATATTAATTATGTCATTCCATATAATTTGTTGTCCTTGTTCTAAAAGAAACCAAAAAAGATTATTATGAATACTCAAGGTCTATGATCTAGCTGAAATACCATTCTTAGTACAAAATTAGAGATGTAGCAATGTCTGTTATTCTTCCCTCTACTCTCTAAAATATGTTTTGTTCCCGTCAAATATGCTCATAATTACAGCACAGCATAAGTTTCTATGCAGTATAGACCTTAAGGATATGGCTTCAGATCTGACAGGGCTCCTACCTCTTCATAAATTTTCTGCAGTTGGTTGAAGTTTAGCAATCAGATTTGAGCATACAGTTTAGGTCATGTTGAAACCGCCCTTTCAAAGGCAAAAATCAGCAAAAAAATGTGTCATCTATTAGACTAGAACAGAGTCGTATCCTCTGTGGAATAATTGAAGATAGAAATATTTGCATTTGATCCAACATAACATTCAAATGCTACATAGAAAATGAGTCAGACTAATAAAATGTAGTGAAATATAACGCAAATGAACATAATGTGATTGAGGTAAAACTTGAAAATCAAATGCCAGATATGGCAGAGCAGATCAGATTAAAAGGAGAAATGAAACTAACTACAATACCACATGTAAAAAATAAGCAGATAACTACAACAAACAATAATCATGCATACTAAAAGAACATCTTTATCTAATACAGATGAAGAAAAATCCCTAAATTCAATAGATGAATCTATCAATAGAAGCAAAGCAAAAGATTTTCAATATTTCAAACCTCTTTTTGTTCCCCTGGAGGATTTGAGTAAAAGACTGAACCTTCTAACAATCAACTTCCAAAGGGAAACAGGTCCAACTAGCGAATCACTTGACCGCCGAGCAGTTCCTGTTCCAATGAAAGCAAATTACTTGTGGTTTCTGATAATTTTGGCCATCCACGTGAAGTTACGTTGTTTCAGATTCAGGGAGAAAGGATAGAGAACAGGAGGACAAATAATAGTGCATCGATCATAACCCTTGGGTGTTGGAACACATATCAACAATCAAACCAATACCTAATGAGTAATGTTATTCCCCATGTAGAACAGACATTAAATTACCTATAAGGATATTAGGCACAGTGGTTGGATACAAATGTTTCTTCAGCAGGATAGATTTGAAGCATATACTTTAGGATCTATTATTTTATTATTTCACCAAAAAAATAAAGTGGGAGTTAGTTACATAGAACCTAAAACTGTTCAACTTATATATTTCACACCCAAAATTCGTTATTGAATAATAAAAGAACTAAAATATTATAATAAAATAAAAAATAGAATCTCCCATAAACTCTTGAATGTCATCATCTTTATCTAGCACGCAGGGTGAAACACGCCTTTTTTTTCAAATGGACAAACTTATTATATAAATGAATTAATTTTTCAAAAAATAAAATGAATAGCACATAAATTAAAAACAAAGCCTTGTATTTCATTATTATTGATGAATTGAACAATATTACAAGTTTTTCAATCTATTTGCATTTTTGTATAATGTTGCATTTGAGCTTCAATCAGAATTAAATCAAAGACTTATTTCTCAATATACGGTACAAAACAGTCATTAAGTCAATTATCACTCATTCGAATGTGCAATTGATATTTGGCAATCTTCAAGGTAAAAAATACTCTTTCAACTGTAGTAGTAGCGACTGGTAAAACTAATGTTCGGATAATAAGTTTATAAAATAAAGGATACACACCATCCTTATTTGTCTTATATAACTATTTTTCAAGATTTGCAAGTTCACCTAAAGATTAAAAATCAACACTGTTATGCATGTTAAAAACATAAATGGATAACTAATACTCAAGAGTCATAAGCTCAATAACGAAAAAAAAATAACTTGAATATAACTTTGTAAAGCGAATCAGCTTTATGTTAACAAAAACAGATAATGAATTACTTGGGTTTAGGTAGGCCCTAAAAAAATAATAACTCAATATTTACTTCAGATAAACGATTATTCAACTAATTAAATTTCAAGACAATCACTGTGTAAAATAATGGAACAAAATAATAATATAAATTCATTATTTTTCACCTCTACACATTGACCGCCTTTTGGAATATCAAATTTAAAAATATTACAGAAATGAAATGCTTCTAATAACAATCTCATTTATTCTCTCACCATCTGTAATTGATGTTTGCATAATTACACCAATTTTATTGCATTCTCAATGAACTAATCTTTTGTTTATAAAAATTGTGATATATCATTTATAATATCTAAAATATCAATCATTAAATGCACTGTAAATAGAAAGGCAAACAAATCGACTTGCAATGATTAAAATGCCAATTTTAACTGATTGTCAATCATGTATCTGTTCCTCCTTAATTATCACAAATACTTCAAGTATGAATGTACACATTTTTATAAGTTTAATTACAATATAAAATTGTGAATTGCAATGGTGTCAATAATATTTCTGGATTCAACCTATACTCATTAATTAAATCTCCGGTCTTAAGATGCAAAAAGATTTTTTTTATTGATTGATTTTAATATCATCACTTCTCTTACAGAAAACTAATACATTTAAAATTCTTAAAGTAAACTCACAAAAATAATTACTCAGAGGTTGTTTGAGATCACTTTTATTTTTTTGCTTTATATTTTTTGTTTTTATTTTATTTTGTTTATGTTTTGAATTAATATAAAATATGTTTGATTAAGATATTATTGTTTTTTAAACACTCAAAGCACCTAGAAGTTTATTTTAGTATTTCTAAAAGCAAAGAAAAAAATAAAAATAAAAATAAAAAATAAAATTGGCCCCAAACCAATGACCCCAAACCAAACCTTAAGAATTATTTTTTGCTACAACCACTAAACATAATTGAAATTGATGAGTAAAATAATGCATATAATATATTTGTGAAATAAGATTAAGAATAAGTGTTTTCAAACCATTAAACTTGTTTAGTACCAATAATTTTTTTAATAATTTATCATTTTCTATCAACATAACTTATTGCAGCAAATTGTTGTTCTTTAATTAATATATCATAAGACTCATTCACTCTAACAGACAAAAATATAAATGACTTTTATCTGTCAAGATAAAAACTAAGGTCCTATTTAGGACAGCTTTTTAGGTGCTTTCAGTTTTAGAAAGCATCAAGGTTGGCATTTGGAGTTGCTTTTTTACGGCATTCCAGGAATTGTGTCAAAGGAACAAAGTTTTGAGAACAGAGGGTTAGAGTTGCTGTCCAGTTCGAGTTACCCAACGTATTTGAAAAAGGACACTGCCCCTAGTCAATTTGTGAAATTACTCGCCTATAACCCGATCCACACATCCACGAAAGAAATATCATAGGGCCTTTCTTCTCCGTCGCCGGCCGAAGCTTGGTGTTGCATTATCTTTCTCATCATTCTTTTTGCCTTTGATTCTTTTCTTCAAATGGATTTTAACTTTGTTTTCCTTAAGTTGAAATTGATTTGAAGATTTTTAGAAAACTTTTGTATGCATCTATGTAATGCTTGCATCATTTGCTAATCGGTTGATTTATGTGTTCTATCAACCAATCTATATGAGTAGAATGTAGAAGCTCTTCAAAGTTTGGGGTTTTTCCTTCCTTGTTGTTGGTCCAAGCTCTATGCACGATTTTTTTTTCTTGGTCGCATTGAGTGCAATTCATGCCATAGTTTTGGATATTATGGGTAGACGCTTTTTTTCCCCTTTCGAAATGTTGTTCTTCGTTGAGAGTATCAATTATTGTTTAGGGTTTGGTTTTGGTGTGCGTGTTATGGTTTTGATGAGCATCGCTTGTGGTTTTGGTGAGGATCCCACATACATACCAATTGAAGCATGCGAACATCGAACAGAACAATCAATAATGGAGAATAATTTGATAGTGGATGATTTTGAGATATTCGATGGGGAGGGTGTTCAGGAGATGATTCAATTGAGGTAATAAATCACAGATGCTTTACTGAATGCTTCAAATATTTATAATTGATCATTTGAGGAAACAAAAAACAGATGAAAAAAGGTTTTTGTGAGAAATATTTGGAGTGTCTTTTGGTATGAATTTTGATTTTTATTGAGTTGTGTTTAAAGATTATTGGTTGATGCATATTTTTCTTAAGTTATATGGTGATGGTTTTTTCTTACAAAATATGTGTGAATGATATTATTATACACATCTATGTATGTGTTGGCTATATTTTTCTGAAGTCCGAGAAGTTAAGTGATTTCATTTATAGTTTTCAGTGTTTTGTGGTTTATGTGAACAATTGCTTTTTATTTTCTTGAGGTTTATGGTTAGTCATATGACATTAGTGGTTATTTTAGATCATCATTACGCTGCTTTGCTTTTCGACATATATGAGTTTGATAATAAACGCTTAAAGGCAACCAAGTATCATTTTTATGCATTTTTTTATGTTGACTCTAAGCCTTTAATTTTTTTTTACTTGCTCTACCACACATAAAGTCAAATTTCTCAATTAAACATTAAATATTACATTCTCATGAAATATGAGTTCAAGGATTTCAAATGCTTTTAAAGTTCGGTATCAGAACTATGGTATGCAATATTATGAGCATACTTCAAGACGAGAAAGTAGCTATGGGAGAAGATTCTATAAGTGTCCCAGAAATAAAACACTTCGTGATTGTAAAATTTTTTCGATGGGCTGATGATAGTGAAAAATTCACTTCAAATAGTGATTATGTATGGAGAAAAGATTTGGAAAAATAACTTGAATGTTTGGGCAAGAAAGATAATGTTATCATAGTATAAATTGTTGTTATTACAATCTTTATTATCATGTAATTATATGTTAGGTGATGTATTAAACTTGATGTAGTATTACAAAAGAATTTTTGAATTCTTTTTCAAGTGTTAAAATTTATTTATATTATTTTGTTAGAATTATTACTAAAACTACAGACTTACAACTAACACATATCCATAAGGTCATTACAGTATTTTTTCTCAGAAATAGCTGCAACATGGCAAATCATCCAAACATACAGATAGGTAAACATTAAGAAGCTTTCTAACAACAACTTCTCCCTGAAATAATTTCACAGCTTCTTCAAATAGCTATAACTGCCCCAAATGCACTATAAAATCTAAGCTGTTATTGCTTAAAACTTTCTCAACCATTAAAATCTACCAGCATTTCAAATATAATTTTTTTTTATTTTTTTTATTATGATTATCAATAAAATGAAGTGGCTATAAATATTTCTTTTGGTTAACAAATTCAACTGATTCATCATAATCATGAAATGATAATCCTTATCATAGAAGAAATATAATTCAATCAAAGGTTACGATCAATTAAATATTATATTTTTTATTCTTCTTATCCTTACTCAACCATAACATAAAAATGCACTTGAGATTTTTTAGATCCTCATATTTTTGTCTTACTTTATTGTGAGCGTTGTTATGTATACCATTGTGAGCTAAATTTTTTTTTTCATTTTAATTTTTAATATTTCACCAAGTAATGATTTCCACTTCCTTGAGTTGCATCAAGTTATTCTAGAGACTTAAATCGATAATAACAAAGACAATATAGTCATATTTGTGCATGTTATAATCTAATCAAGCTGAATACTCAAACCATTTTGAACAAAATTTACATGCAAAGTTACATATCATTATTTGGGAATATTAATTTTTTTTTTGCCGGAAGTGTTCCCTTGAGTAAATACCTTCTTCATACTTTTCTGTTCTCATTAACACCATAACTATAGACTAAATGATGAAGTCCAATCGGTTAAAAGCTTATCAATATTATTTTCACCCATTTTTTATTTTTCAAATAATGATCTATTTACAAAACTTTAATATGAAAAAAAATATAATATCAATATA